ACTCGCATGCACCACCTCTGCACATGCGCACGGACTTCTGCGCATGTGCAGTAGTCTTGCATTACATCCGGGTGGGTGGGCGGAGACTCCCACAGTCACTGCTACCAGTTTGTGTGATCCGGAGAGAACCAACTGAATCCCACCACTGGTTCAGATCCAGCTCCCCAAACACAACAAACCCTCTGAAGTTAACTCAAAGATTCTTTTATTAGGAGTGCCAGCAGCCCCGGCAAAACGTTTCTCTCTCAACGCAGGCTAACAAGTCTGCCCGCCCGGAAGATGAATAGTTGTCTGTCACATCTATTCATCTCCGCACCCTGCCTTTTATCCCCACAGCTAGTTGGGGCTTCACTAGCAGCGGTGGCTCCTCATTCCCAAGGATGGGCCCAACAATTTCCATTGCTCTCCTCGCCTCTGCCTTCTGCGCATCCGTGTGTCAGGCACTAGACCCAACTGTTCCTCCTCTTCCTCATCAGCTACCTCCAGACCTGGAGGCTGTTGACTCTCCATCTGAGGGCTAATGGATGGCCCAAGCTCCGCCTCTCTCTCTTTGTGTGTCAGCTCCATTACCTCTTCCCTCTTGGAGCTCTCAGGTTGCCTTGATGCTGACCCTGACTCCCATGCCTTCTCCTCTTCCTCTGATTTGGCTGCTAGAGGGGCCAGAGGCTGACAGGCCACATATAGTTTCATTAAGCTATATTTAAGATTCAAACCCACTGTGATTCTCAGCCATAGAAAGTCAGTGTATAACACTGAGACAGTCACTTTCTGTGATCCCAACTACTGCCACAAGTTTGTTATTACTGGGGTAAAATAAAAGAATCTTCTCATAAGAGGAAATTCAGGATACAAATAAATACATGAAAATCATTCTTAAAAACACATTAGCAAAATAATACTGTTCAAATTTTGGTCTCTTTTAAGGGTGAATGAAGGCAGATATACGTGTCCCAGGATAATGTTGCAAGATCCAATCTAAGTCGGTCACTGCAATCAAAGGTTCTTTAAGAGCGCACAACACTGTCAAACTCAATACTCTTAAGCTCAGTTTTGGCTTGCAAAAAATTAATTGGAAAACTTGATTTAATGCTGCAAAAGGCCAGTTATTCCTGTAATCCATTAAGTCTCCTTCAGTTAATATTAGTTCAATTTTTTTCTCATCATTCATTTCCTGGGAAAGATGTGCTATAAACTTTAAAATAGTTTTAATTTTTAAAAAGCTATCATTTTTACATGTTCTACCACCATTGGAGGAAAAAAAAATGACTTGATCCCACCTATGTCTTGTTATCATCCCAAACCCTGTAAGTTAATTTTACTTACCTCCTTTTAAGCCATTATAGACAGTTATGTTTTTATCACCTAGTAAATGTAATCAGCAACTCAATTTATCTCTAAATTGTACTGTAATACAATAATTTAGAAATGGCATATTAAATTTGGACTTTATATTACGTTATAAATAACTGCAATGTATTATTATTTGAACAGTTACTTTATTCTATATCTATTGTGCTCATAGCTGTAAGTATATAATAAAGCTACTACTATTTCTAATTGTGTTATCCCAGATTCTGACTGAACCAATGAAGCAAATGTTTTAAAGAACAGTGGTCCCCAACCTCTGGGTTGTGCCCCACTAGTGGGCTGTGAGGGGATTGCAACCAGGCCGTGGAAATGGCCGGCAAGTGCATGCATGTGTAGATGTCATTTGCACAAGCAGTGGGCAAGCGCATGAGTGCTCCATTGGTGTAAGCAGCAGGTGCACCTGCATGCTAGCCCCCCACGTGGAACCATCTTCTCCCCCCCCCCGCTGGTCCACAAAGCTAGATATGTTGGGGAACTCTGTTCAAGAAGACAGTTACCAGAAATATATTTTCACATTACAGGTCTGACACTTGTACTATATATTGATTTAAAGCTTTTTCCAGATGAACCTATTAGCTTTTCTTTTTTAGATTTAGCAGATTAAAGTAACACTTGGTAAGCTTTTGATTTGTCATGGGTTCTTCAATTTGGGCTTTCCAATTTAATCTTCCTTTGTACCACAGCTTAGTTGGTCACTTGCAATTAAAATCCCAAAGTGCTTAGTCCCTTTTAAACTGGTATGTTAATAGGCCAATCCTGATGACTTATTTTCCATGTTTCACTGTTTCTTCAAAATATGTCTGATCCTTTATGTTGGCTGGTTTCTCCACTGCTGGCTTAAATTTGTTTTGTTTTATATAATCTATCAAAAATTAAGCTCCCCATTAAGCAAAGAGACATATCTAAAATAAGCTGTATATTTTTTCATATATGTTTGTTAGGGCAGAACTCACTGGCAGGCAAGTCAAGAAGCATATTAACAGATGCAGAGAAACTCAGTTAGGTGGAGTTCTATGAAACCAGCACAAGATTGGAAGTGTTCAATGAATTGTGAGCTATAGTAGGTATGTAACAAACTAAGTGTTTGTTGTAAGTTACTAGGTATGTAACAAACTTAGTAACAAACTAAGTGTCTTATTGCTAGTCAAGTTAGTTCTTTTCTACAACTTCTGTTTCAATTAGTAGAAATATAGAAATTTCAAATAGTGAAATATTTAATAATACCCTGTTTCCCCCAAAATAAAACATCCCTGATAATAAGCCCAATCAGGCTTTTGAGTGCATGGCAATAAGGCCAAGTGCTTATTTCAGGGTTCAAAAAAATATAAGACAGGGTCTTATTTTCGGGGAAACATGGTAATAAATAATATATACATGACAGAGTTTTTAATCATCAAATAAATATTTTAAAATAAAGTTCATTAAAATAGTATAGTATAGATCTATCAAGATACCGTATTTTTCGGAGTATAAGACGCTCCGGACTATAAGACGTACCTACCTTTTTGGGGGAGGAAAACAAGATATACGCTAGTGCATGGATATGGGAAATAATATGAAATTTTACCAGTTTGGAACTGTTTTAAGTTTTTTTCTTTGCATAGATCGGTATTGTAATCAGAATCAGTAAGTTATTCAGCACGCAATGTTAGATGTAATGCTTTTTTCCCCTCTCTTTATTTTCTTTATTTTTCTTTATTTTCCTTCAAGTAACATTTTAATTAAGTTAGTGAAATACTTTTTAAATTTCAGCTAATTTTTGATTCTAGACAGAAATTTTACAACAAAAGGACAGAAAGAAGAAAACAAAGCTCATAAAACACTCACAATAACTCTGCCTCTGCCTCCCAGTAATTTGCCTTGCAGAAAACAGCCTGCTTTAGTTTCATTTTCAGCCTGATTAGCACAAGAAAAAAAAAATCTGCCTCCCAGCAATTTGCCTGATTGCAGGAGGCCTGCGTGGCAATAGGCAATGGGAATCCCTACAGTCTGAAACAACTGAGGGTTGGGAGTCTAATCCAACCGACAATCAACTGCTTGTACTAATCAGGCTGTGCTGAAACTGAAACGAACTGTTTGCTGCTTGCTGCAAGGAGGTAAATTGCTGGGAGCAGAGGCCAAAGGGTGTGGGTGGGCGAGGCTACATTCAGACTATAAAATGCACCCAGATTTTCATCCTCTTTTTTTGGGGAAAGAAGTGCATCTTATAGTCTGAAAAATACGGTAATTATTCATCTGTCATGATGAGGTTATATAATTACATTCCATTCATCACATGAGTTATGCAAAAAAACCCCGTATCTTTTGATATTGTTCAAAATATATTTCTTCAGATCTAACCAACCATGTGGAACAGTCTTCTACAGAGCTGTAATGCAATTTTCTATTGGTTAAAATTAAGCTATATTATAGATGGGTGAATTGCATTCTCTAACCAGTTCCATGAGCCCTCAGAGATCTAGACAATAAAAGAGAGATAAAAAACATTTTAAAAGGAATACTTAATTCACATTCCATTCACCTTTTAATACAGCTTTTCCAGATCTTTGAAGTATTATTTTGCAAGATGACTTTGGTAACTCTGCACACAATTAAAGCTGAATTCTTTATTTGCTCTTCATTCTGTATTTCTTCAAGATATTGGATAGATATTTATTCCTTTTGACACAGTTGTTAGAAACCAATCCTAGTTTCATTCACCTAGGAAACCCACACAGCACATTAACTTCTGAGCAAACAAGGATAGTAATAAAATAGAATTTTTAATTGGCCAAGTGTGATTGGACACACAAGGAATTTGTCTTGGTGCATATGCTCTCAGTGTACATAAAAAACAAGATACATTTGTCAAGAATCATAAGGTACAACATTTAATGATAGTCATAGGGTACAAGTAAGCAATCAGGAAACAATATCAATATAAATTGTAAGGATACAAGCAACAAAGTTACAGTCATACAGTCATTAAGTGGAAAGAAATGGGTGATGAGATTAATAGTAATGCAGACTTAGTGAATAGTTTCACAATGCTGAGGGAATTATTTGTTTAGCAGGGTGATGGCGTTCGGGATAAAACTGTTCTTGTGTCTAGTAATGATTTTGAAATACCCTGTCTTTGTTTTTGTTTTGCAACAGACTAACCCAGCTTTCCAGATCTTTTAGAAATCTGCCTAGACTTGTTTAAGTAACTTTGCAAGAGTGCCTAATATTTCGCGAAACCATCTGTTAATAATTACTTTCTACTCCGTTTACCCCCTCCACGTGGAAAAGCCTCTTTCCCCCCGCCCCCGTCGCCCTTTCTCAAGTTTAAACGGATCTAGCGAGGTAATTAAAAACACACAAGCTAAAAATGCAGCAGGAGAGATTGAAAATCAGTGCCTTCTCGTGACCTCTTCCAGCAAACAGGGCAAAAAAAAAAAAAAAAAAAACCCAGAAAAGAAATATAAAGCAACCAAACGCCGCTCGCGGGAGCGAATGAATGAAGGCGACCCGGTCCGTCCGGGGGGAGGGGCGTGGCCAGGATCCGCGTCCGTGCTTGGAATTTCGCCGCAGCGAATGAGAGCGCCGATTGGCCTTCGAGGGTCAGAAAACAGGACGTGGGCGGAGCAAATAGTTATGACGTACCTGGGGGGGAGAGCTACCTCAGTTCAACAATTGGGCGGGCGGGAGGCAGTCGGGTTTCTGGGCACGCGGCGGGTGCGCGCCAAAGGGGGCGGAGTCTGCCTCTTCCCCTGCCCTCCTTCGTTCGTGGTTTCGGGCCCTCCCCCTCCTTAAAGCGCGGCCCATCCTCCCGCGAGCCGCATTAGTGGCGGCGCTTCGGGTGTCAGGCAGCGCCATTGGGCGGAGAAGCTGAGCGCTCGGGCTACCCCGGTTTTTTTTTTTGTTTGTTTCCCTTCCCCGCCCGCCTCGGCTGGCCCTGTGGCTGCTGGAGGCGGCTGAGCTGGGGCTTCTAGCCCGTTTCTCCGCCGCTCTGGTCCCCACCGAGTCTCTCGCTTGAGGGCGCCGCCGCCACCACCTCAGCCCCGAGATGTTTGACAAGACGCGGCTCCCTTATGTGGTGCTGGACGTGGTCTGTGTGGTCCTAGGTATGCCTCGGGTTCCGCAGCGTGGGGGATCCGGGGAGGAAGGGGAGGCGCCTGGGCACCTCAGGGTGAGGCGATGCGCCACCGCTGCGCACTTGTCGGTTTACCCACCCGACGCGCCCCTGTTGTGGCTGCTGGGGGCTGCCCTGGCCGGCTTTTGAGGCAATTCCTCCGCTTCTGTTCCTGCGGTTACCCCCGGGGATCCACGAGGCATATATATATATATATATATATATATGTACGTGTTTGGGTGAAGGCAATAAATGGGGAGACGGTCGTCTGAATGAATCTCTGGGACGGGAAAAGGTTTTATCCCCCACGCTCTTATTTTATATGCCTCTACGTACATATGCAGCGAATGTGTATCTGGGGTAGCTCGCTTCCCTCCTGCATGTTGACAGGCTAATCTTTGCCTCGCATCTCTGGCTTTGCCGAAAAAAGCTTGGGGAGGGCGTTGGAAAAGGGTTAATAAATGCAGCATTTTTTTCCCTTCATTTTTTAGGTTTGTCTGCTTCTGCTGTTGTCGCTGCTTTCTTTGCGTTCATCTGTTCATCTGCTTGCTTACTGGCTAGCTTGGCGTCAAATACCCCTCCCCCCCCCATCTCTCACCTAGATAAACTTGGTCACTGGAATTCTGCTTAAATCAGGGTTTTATTCAAGTTGGCTAATATAACAAATGGCTTGAATGAGTGGTGTACAGAGAAAGAGTTGAGAGAGAGAGAGAGAAACCACAACCAGCTGGTAGATGGAAAAATCACAGCTGCATTTTGTGCTTGCTTCTTCAACCTGGTGCCCTCCAGGTGTGTTGGGATCCACATCAAACATCAGGTGAAGTCAATTGCATTTGATGGGTATCGGACGGGAAGATTGATGTACATTTAGCAAACTGAGTTTAGAAAGAAAGCAGTTTCATTTCCTCTCATATGAACATACTTTAATGTAAAGGGATAAATAATTGACAAAGTTGCACACTGATATGCTACAATACAGCCTTTAATGGATTTTTTAATGGGTGACTCTATAGCTTCTTTTAGGGTTAGATTACAAAACATATATATATATACACTGTGCCAGTATTTATTTGTTGACAGCAGTTCTTTTTCATTTTTGCAATATGAAGAATGATCACAATGTAATTAAAATGTGTATTTGGCAAAGTATAAGCTTAATTTTCTCTTACCTTAAACTTTGTTACTGCAAAGCATCTAGTTTTAGATTGACATTTTCTTGAGTGAATGTAATACTGAACTATTAACTTTGGTTGTTGCTAAATATTTGTATTACAGCTAAGGGCAGTGTAGTGATGGTGGACCACCATCCTCTGTTAGACTCATCTAATAGATTTAAAAAAGCCTTGATGGAGATTTATTTCATTTATGCTATTTCAAATCCATTAAATAGAAGATAATTGGATTTTGGACCAACAAAATAATTGCTTTAGAGTAACTGAAAATTTGCTTCTATAGAAAGGATGAGAAAGTCTCATGCTGTATAAGTTTAGCAAAGAATGAATGTTTCTATGAAATCTATTTAAATATAGGATAACAGCTGCAAATAGTAATTTTCTCAACAGCTCTTTAATAGATAATACTTTGTTGGGTGATGTAAATAATTATCTTTAATTAGATAATTAAAGAATCAATTGATCAGTTTTAGTGTGAAACAGTTCTTGAATAGATGAAGAAACATTCTTCTTCCAAGTTAATAACTCTGTATAAAGAAACTGGAATAAAGTTAAAAATATATCTTTAGTATGATGTAATATTTTAAAGATGTCAGCAAGATTATGTTTGTTAGGTGACCATCTCCGTGGTCATGTGGCCGGCATGACTAAATGCCAGAGGCGCAGAGAACGCTGTTACCTTCCCACCAAAGGTGGTCCTGATTTTTCTACTTGCATATTTTACAGGCTTTCCAACTGCTAGGTTGGCAGAAGCTGTCAATATATTTATTATTAAATCTAATATATTTGACCCAAGAGGGAATATTTTAGAAGATATAAACCACTGTTTACGCAGTGTGCACTTTAATAAATTATAGGATCTAACTTGATGAGAGAACAGCCATGGTTTCCTGTTGCAGTCAGAGCTACAAATATATTGTGAAATCTCAAACACTGAGCATTTTATTATGGCCTAAGCAACAATGAAGTTAAAAGGAATGCATAAAGTTCTGATTTAATGATATTCAAATAATTGCTGGTGATCAGCATCCCAGCACTGATGTTTCTTGGATGAACATACTGAATAACATTGCAGAATTAGTTATGTAATGGCTCAGGAAAAAAAACTCACAGTGTTTTAAAAGTCTTTTCTGCCTTCCCATTTGAAAAATTTTGGAAAGAATGAAGACTTCCAGTGAAATATTTCATTTTGGAGAAATGGATGCAGGTAAGACAGGATAGTCTAATTGTTCCTTACTTCTCCGAAGTTTTTATTAGTTTGCAGTAAGATGTAATAGGATGACATTTATGTAGTATGTCAGAGCACTAGGACCACTACACCAGAGGACAAATAGTTCTGTACTGTATGACACTAGATGTTAGAGCAACATGCATGGCTGCTGCTAAGCAGCATGGCCATTTGTACCAAAGGAGGAATAATTCAGTATATTATTTGCTTATGTGTTTGTGTATTGTTGCTTATCTAATAGATCTGCTCCCTGACTGAAGTTCAATGCTTCCGTTGTAGATATCTAACTAAATTATACTTTCACGTACGAATATGCCAAATCTGATAATTGTACGAATGAACCAAGTTAGTTTTGGTGGGGGTGAAGGATTCAAGCAAGGTGAAGTGGCAGTGGGTTCTTGCAGATATGTGATTCTTGCAGGTTCTGCATCTGGTTTTGAATGGGGTTGTACTGGGACTCTGTGAAGCCTGGGATTTTCCTGGATTCTCATACCTGTTTGAAAGCAGATGGTAGCTTGCAGACTTGTACACCAGTTGTATTCATTCTTGGACTTGGAGACTCTTTGTATAGTCAGATATATCTTGGTTACCTTGTAGCAATATTGAAATTGCTGTACATGAAGCTCCCTTGAGGATCACTCAGAATGTGCACTTGATCAAAAATTCAAATGCATGAACAGTGATGGGCATACCTAGTCAGCTGGTGCCATCGCGGACTATTGGGGGTGAATCTCTGCCCCCCACAGAGAGGGCTTGCAATCCTGGACACACGGCTGTCTTTAGAAGAGCATATGATGGCCGTGGCCAGGGGGGCTTTTTATCAGGTTCGCCTGATTCGCCAGTTGCAGCCCTTTCTGGACCAGGACGCCTTGCGCACGGTCATTCACGCCCTTGTCACCTCCCGGCTGGACTATTGTAATGCTCTCTACATGGGGCTCCCCTTGAAACTGGTCCAGAATGCGGCCGCGCGGGTGGTTATGGGCGCAACCCGTTGTGCCCATGTGACACCTCTCCTGCGCGAGCTGCACTGGCTCCCAGTGGTCTTCCAGGTGCGATTCAAGGTCTTTAAAGCGCTCCATGGCATAGGACCCGGGTACCTTCGAGACCGACTTCTGCCACCAACAGCCTCCCACCAGCCAGTTCGCTCCCACAGAGAGGGTCTCAGGGTGCCATCAGCCAAGTTATGTCGGCTGGTGACACCCAGGGGGAGGGCCTTCTCTGTGGGAGCCCCTGCCCTGTGGAATGAACTGCCCCCGGAAATGCGTAAGATCTCCGACCTCCGTGTATTTCGCTGTGCCCTCAAGACCCTGCTGTTCCGCCAAGCCGGGCTATCAATGTAATGATTTTTAAATTGGGTGTTTTAAATTTTGGGGGTTTTAAATCTGAGCCGAAATTATTTAATAATTTTAATTATTTTTAACTGATGTCTGTCTTTGTGCTTTTAATAGGCTGTACACCGCCCTGAGTCCTTTGGGAGAAGGGCGGTATAGAAATAAAATTATTTATTTATTTATTTATTTATTTATTTACCTTACTACACCCATGTATGAGACCTGCTCTGGTAGCTGCAGTGGTTATCAATAAGCTTCCAGGTGCAATTGAACAGTCTGATTATTATCTTTAAAGTCTTAGAAGTCCTAGATATCAGAGCTATCTTATTTCCTGTAGGATTTGTCCATCCTGTTTGATTAACAGAGAAGGCTTGTTTCAACAATGTCATCTAACTTGACGTAGGAAGCAGTTCTCCTCTGGAAGTACCTGCCCTTTGGAACAGCATCTCCCAGTTATTTATAATCCCAACGTATTCCTCTTTAAACAAGATTTAATAATTGGACTCTTCCTCCAAGCCTTGGGTCAGTGAAGGCTAAAGCCCTTTGAAATTGAGGGATGGATGGAACATTCTTTTTTACTTATTTCCTCTGGGCAACTCTCTTTCCCAATATGAGACAGTTCTTTTTAATTGAGAAGCTACCAAGAGTCATTCTGGAATTGGGCAACCTAAAACTTTGATGCATAAACAAAGAAAACATAGAATGTTAATAAAAGAGCAAAAATAAACTTAGAGGTATAGAGAGTAAGACAAATATTGGATACATTTGAAATTTCCCTAATTTAACCCCTTATCCCAACCTACAGTTTTTTTCACCATGGCTTTAAAATGTCTAGAAATTTTCTATCTCAGTAATGAAAGTTTCATAATTTATGATATATGGATTGCAGAAATAATAAATTGAGGGTTTAAAATGAGACGTTCAGGATCATTGTGCGTTGAATATATTTTCCTCAGTTGTAATCTCTTTATAAACTAGATCATCATCTTGACAGATTTTGCTGATTAGATAATTTGATCTGCATTTTTGAGAAGAAAACATAAACCTCATAAGCATTTAGAGTCATAGTTCCTAAATGTAGAACTACAGAACTTCAACTACAGAAAGGGAATGGGAGATTAGATAGATAGATAATAGATAGATAGATAGATAGATAGATAGATAGATAGATAGAAAGATAGAAAGATAGATAGATAGATAGATGATAGATAGATAGATAGATAGATAGATAGATAGATGGATGGATGGATGGATGGATGGA